CCAGAGTGTTGGTCCGGCCGGGGCTCGAACCCTCGACCTCCCGCACAACAGTCCAGCGCTCTATCCATTGAGCTAACCGGGAGGCGGTTGGAAAAACAATAGATGGGAACGTGGAAAAACAATAGATCTAATTGGCAGAACAATAGCCCAGCACGTGCGTTTTAAAACTTTGTACATTTCTTAGCTGTCCTTTGCAAAACATCAACGTGAAATAACCAAGATTTGCGTCGTCGGCGAAGCGAAACCACGGCGGCAAATTATTTTAATTTACATTTGGAACTCAGCGCTACTTTTATGAGTTATGTCGAGTTTGAGGTCTGACGCCCTATGAGACGGTAAACACATGCAGCCATTTTCGAAATTCTAACTAAAAGTAGAAACTCATTTTTTAATCGACGTCTTCCGTGGCGTTGCAGTCCTGACTGCTTAAAGTCCCTAATAAGTAACCACGGGTGCCCGACTTATTATCCTGGATCCTGCGCTTCAATACTCGATACATCAGAGACTCCGAGGCATACAGGACTATACAGGGTGCCATGCTTTAGAACTATTTAGCTTTTCTCAGTACTTTTCCCGCTGAGGTTTTTCTTTAGTAAGCAGGCATAGTTTGGGACTCATCTTTGTTATTCTAGATATGTCTTTGTAATGCCTGGATTGTTCTGAGTTGTGATTTTGTTGTCGTTATACTGAATCACTTTAAACTTACAGTTAATAAAATCCGGGTCCTATTTCACACTGAAATGTTGTGCTAGGGAATGGATGAAACCGCCACTATGACCGGTACACTGCGGCAATCCCACATTGCACACAAATGTACACATGCACGATCTCGAGCCCGGAGTCTTTTCGGCTGCTTTTCGACGGTTAATCGCGGGAGAATTAAAACGCGGGTAGGTCACGTGGAGTATCGAAAGAATCGATACTCTTCGCTAGTATCGATATTTTTCGATCCTACCTCGGTATCGCTGGTATCGAATATTTGGTATAGGTATCGGCCCATCCCTACAGTTAATCGATAACTGTGAATGAAAAGCTCAAAATTAACGGGAAAAATGGAGAAAATCAAAGCTACATGAAGTCGAGTGTCAGTGTCACTATAAAATGTTTTAAAATTCAACGATCCGACAAATTTTCGAAACGTGCAACTTGCGAGTTTTTTTCGGCTTTGTTTTTGCTGCTTGTTGGATCAGGACTTAAAAGGTCAATGTTGATAGAAAAATTGGGAAGTTCTTCGCTAGTTTCTTCCATATTTTAAAGAGAAGGAAAATTGCACTGCAGCTCACAGGACAGCAACTCTGCAGCCAGTTAAAAGAAAAGCTCACGTCATCTTATTTACGCACGGGCGTGGGTAAATAAAGATTTTGTTCACAGCGGTTCAATAGGACTCTGATAGAGCAAGCACGCGCGCTATGTTATAATATTCCCTGACATGACATACTTACATTGCTCGCTGTTGAACAATTGTCATTTATTTTCTGAGGCTCGTAATTCAAGTTGAGATCCCAGGGAAAACAGCAAGACAAAGTTACATATTAAATGATTGGCCAAGAATGTGCTACTACCCCCTCCTTGGAATTGCGTTTTAATCAATGTGTCGAAAAGAAATATCATCTCCAGTGAGAACACTACACAAGTTTGTCATTGAAATGGTAATAATTGAAATGGGGGGCAGTGGAGATCATATAATCACTTTGGATTGTCACTTTCTCTCGACAATGACGGGGCCATTTGACCTTGGGACTATTTGCTTCATCAACTAACGACATTTATTGAATTCCCCAAGTTCCCCACTCCAGACAGGAAAGGTTTAAATTCCACACCCCCAGGCATGAATAATAGTCAAATGCCTGGGGGGAAGGGGGGAGCCTGTGGGTTGTCCTGGGCAGGGGGGAACTCTTCCTCTGAGTCATTCATTCACAAACATTTACCTTAAGCACCTCCATAATTAACATTTATTCCACGAGCGCGCGTTGGATATGAGATGAGAGATAGCCAACGAGGCGCGTAGCGCCGAGTTTGCTATAATCACTTCATATCCTACAAGCGCGAGTGGAATAATTGTTTTATTAAAAAAAAAACGCCCCCAAAATATTAGACAAATCTTCTCGACTTTGTTTTGTAAGAAGAAACCGGATGTTACAATGTACAGATATTAGATTATGGTATATTGGCTCATATACCAAAATAGCTAAGCCAATAAAAAGTCTTGAATTGCATTATCCAATGATCGAGTTTTTAATAATTAATGATACTACACTTGTAATCTGCTGGAAAGTTTGAAACTTCTGGTTCAAATTCTCCACTCCACCTAAGCAAGGTTTAAATTCCCCACCCCCATGCATGAAAGATCATGGTCAAATGCCTGTCGGTTGCCTGGGGAGGAGGGGGGGAGGGAATGTTGAAGCTTCAAAATGATTGAAGCATTATTATGCTGCATTAACTTCTCTATTGAATAGATTCACTATCTGTTCTTTGAACAAGCAAGGTCCCATAGTCAACTTTCCAAATCATGGGACACAGGCAAACTGACAACAAGCAAAAAAATACTTGTCCTTGTCATACAAACAATTTCAATTTATGAGAACAAAAGAACAAATTTCCTAGATCTTGGTACAAGAAATTGGTAACTCAACACTCAAGTTTTAATTTTATTGACAAAGGCATGAACTACTAGCCATGTCCCTCTTAGCAGTTAAAAGACTGTTAGAGGGAGAATCCTCTGTGATTCTTCATACTCCTCTTCATGCTCTCACTGATAAAAAACGAGGTATGCAGTGTTTATTCAAGTAAAGGGTGCTGGATTAAGGGAATGTTTGGAGTGGATACTATGCAAGTTTGTTACTCACAAACAGGAACATGTCACTTCATTGACAAGTGTTTACTAATGATTATCACTTTTTCTTAACAATGAGGGCGCCATTTTCAATTCGATGACCTTTTGTAACCGTTCCTTTTTTCCAATGATTATTATTAAATTAATTTTTTTCCTAACCTTTTGGTCTCTTAAAATAAACTTGCGTCAGAGTTAGAGTTGTTCTTCTTCTGTTTTTCATTTCTAGGTTTCTCTATGTGTTCAGTGACGGTAAAAAGACCGAAATGATCACTGGGCTTCTCGTCACCTCATTGCCAGCAATTCTCACTTCTTTTACTTGGAAGTCCGACAGTTTACTTAGAACGTGATCAAGGCGAGCTTGGTAACTCGTTGCATTCACAGTTCTTCCCGTCGGAGATTCTACGAATTGATAACCGAGGGGGGCATTGCGGTTTGCGGTTTTGGGTTTTTGGCTATCTTTTAGATCGGCTTTTCGGTTTTTGTGCCAAAAAACGTCGGTTTTTCGGTTTTGTCGTTAATTGCGCTTTGGTGGATTTTCCGTTTTCAGCCTTTGGTTTTCTGTTTTAGTCAAAATTTTGACGGGTACTCTGATTTGGTATCAGATGTGCCTTTTCGGTTTTTCATATTGGGGTTCCGGTTTCTCTTCGATCTTGGCAGGAGTTATACGCCTCTGCTGAACTCGAATAGCCGCGAAACCCATGTTGCTCCATTTGTAACCATAGTATCAGATCGATTAGGATTTTGACAACTGAGATGTGCAAATTTATCGGTTTAGACGGGTTTGCTTGCGGTTTTCGGTTTTGATCGCATTTTTTTGTGGTTTTGCGGTCTCTAATAGACCCCAATGCCCCCGTCATAACCAAGCATCAATACATGGTGACGGCAACACAATATATCACCATCAACTTTATCCTCTATGTTCAAGTCTCCCATAATACAGATATTGTCGTAAGACGAGGTGATTTGAAATGCTTCTCTCAGCTGCTCTTCGCCACAAATCCAACATCTAAGGAAGGAACAGTGTTCTTTGTTTCTGCTAAAACAAGTCTACAATTTGCTTTTGAATTTGTATATGGATAATTTTTTCTCTTTCTCGACAGGATAGACACTCAAAATAATGGCGGGATACATTTCTTATTTTGCTTCACCTTGAGGAAGCAAGTGATAGCGGGAAAACCAGCGCTGTTCTCTTAGCACTGCCAGTTTTTCCAGCGTTTCCTCTTGAAATGCTATGATGTCTGGCTCGAGATCCTCTACAACTTCTCCTGAGGCTTCCGCTCTTTCTTGCATCTTTTCAGAAGAACGCCAAATGTTGTAAGTAAGCTTGCTTATTTTTGTTGACTCAGGAAATGATGCCGGAACAATGGTCTAAAGAGGAATTAAAAACAGCGCAAAGAACAAACAAAGCAGTAGCGAAAAGTAAAAGTAACAGACAAGGACCCCGAGCTCTCGGAAGAGTACACGTAAAATTAGCCATGTTTGTCTTAGTTTAGCTTGTAGCCAGAGTCCTGTGGTTGAGCATTAGTGCATGACCCGGTGTCATGTCACATTGTTCTGGATTACCCCCGAGTTTTGGGTATCCCCTCTGGGAAAAAGTGAATTAACAAGAGACTGGGGCAAGTCAGAATTAACTTTGCGAGAATTAACTTTGGATTACAACTTTCTGACGTCTGCAAGCAATTATTTTTTGTCTACGATAATAAAAAAGTATGCCATATTACTTGCTTCAGTATCTTGTTTATGCCACTTTTTAGCGTTATTGATATCTCCAAAGGGGATACCAAAACAGAAAACAGTAGTGTTTTTGGTACGGGTGTACCTAAAACTCGGGGATACCCAAAACACTGTGACACCGAAATAGACAAGTAAGTGAAGAGAAAACGGCCAAACCAATAAACGATCAAGGGCATTTGCCACATAACTTTAAGTGTTTTTAAATGGGGATTGCTCATTGAATTGAATATTTTGCAAATAGTCACTACTATCCTAAATGATGCAGCAGGTAGATGGCAATTTGTAATTATCTTTGCCAATTTCAGTATGAGGCTTTGATCCAAAATGCTTTAACCAGCTTTTTTTCTCCCTAATGACCTACTCTATCTAATAAATAGCTCCCACCAAAATTCACATACATTTTTGAACAAGCTTTGCAGAGCTTTTCCGTATTATTTGGGAAAACATTATTACACGAGCGTCCCTCCTGAGTCATGCTCAGTTGAAACACATCGTGTTCTCGTGCACTCATCTAGTTGTTACGGCTCGTAGTATTTCATTATCTCGTCCAAAGATCGTTTCCGTATAGTTGTATTTACTCTTTCTTCTCTTATCAAAGCCGGTAGTCTGTTGTGAATAGCAAGGGGGTACTTGTCTCCCTCGTGAGGCTTGAATCTAATAAGGACATCTAGTAACGAGTCACCAGTAAACCTTGGATGTGTGTCCACCGCTAAAGCTTGATACCTCTGCCGAAGAGCCTGCGCAGAAGCCTTTGGTTGTCTTTGACGCGTAAAGAGCCCCTTAGTGTTAGTTGACATGATGTCATATGCTTTAAAAATGTAGTATGGAGTTCTAGTTTAGATAAGAATAATTTTACCCTTATCTGAGTATTAACTGGTGAAATGCTGTTTGACACCTCACTGGATAATTGTCATATAAAAATGAAACAATAGTCAATCAATCTGCATGATTAAATCAATCTCATGGGCGTGGAGGAAGTACAAACGCAGATGTGTGCTAAGGAGGGATATCACTGTCCGAGGAAAGGGGAAGAAAGTGCTCAGCTGGTGTCTAACTATATAGTATTACGGAGCTTGTTAGGTTTTTCAGCCATTGACAAAACTCAATCTATTGCACTTACATTCTAGAACGTTGTAGTCTGTTAAAGTCCAGATCATTTCTCCAGCCAGAAATTCTTTCCTGAGGCGATCAAATACAGGGAAATATTGTTTCATTGTGTCGACCTGAGAGTAAGTTAATTGAAGGGTTAGATCTCCAGAGACAAAGCAACTCATTTTATTTTGAATTTTAATTCATCTTCGATTTTGAGACCTTCGTCTCGTGCTAGTACGTAAATAGCACTTTTGATGAGTGATACATGTGCGAGAAGGAAATCCGGATAAGATAATCCTCTCTACGCCACAAGAAGACACTTCCTGTATGATATGTAAGCAACCTCTGCCTCCTGAAGAGAATAGTTGTAAACTACTGAAAACCAACTTTTAAACGCTGGCATCGCTTTGGAAACATGACAAGAGTTTTTCAACCATCAGATCTAGAGTAGCGTTTACACTCATTGAACGCGCGGGAAATATGTAAAATTTCGCCTCTATTTCGTCAGTTCCCGCATGTATAGCATCGGTATTGGTTTGTTTGCACTTAACAGCTTCGTTTAAATAAGGTTTGTATGAATCTTCAACTACAGTTATGAAAGAAAATATCTGAAATGTCTACCTGATACTCTTCGGTATACAACACAGACGGTTTCTAAAGAAATGTAAAAGTAAACACAAAAATCATTTACAGAGAAAGCTTAACAAAGTCAGTCAACATAAAGGAAGCTGCAAATCCCCTTTAATAGGAATATCAGTGAGTTAAGACAAAGCTTTGCTAATAATATGGGACTGGTTGTAACGTGATATTTACTCCAAATACCGATTAGGCAATCAGTCACAGAAAGACTCATCAATTTTAGCGTTTATAGGCTACTGAACACAACAATTCAGCTTATCTGTTCCAAAAAGTTTGCCCTCATCGATCATCAAGTGAATAAACGGTAGTTACTGCTGCTGCCACACTCATAATTAAAATTTAATTTCGGTTGATTCGGTTTTTTATGTTACCTTGTGTCTCCCGGCAACAGCGTTGCTGCCATATTCGGCCATGAGAACTGGTTTACCAAATACATTATGTAAGCCACGCAGATCCTCCTCTAAAGACTTCGAAATCAGCGAGGGTTGGCCTGGGTACCAATACCAACCATAGTGACGATTGAAAGAAATGACGTCACAGAATTCAAGCTGTAAAAAAATAAAGAAAACAAGGAATAGGGTGAAGTCAGAGGGAAAATTTATCAGTTCGGAAAAAGGATAAATTAAGGGTGGAACTATCACTGGAAGTCCTCAGACATGAGAGAAGCCGAGACAATCAATGAATAGAGTCAGTGCAATTTAAAGAAGCACCAAACCTTGTACCACTAGCAAGCCTGCACCGAGAGCTGGTAGCCTTTTGTTTTCCACCTACACAAATATTCCGACCTGATGATTAACATGCAACCTTAAATTTCTCTCAACCTACCCCAGGGTCTTCCACCGTCATCAGCTTGTCATATGAAGAGGTGACATAGGTAACTGGCCGTTTCTGTAAATCCATCTCTCGTGTGAAGTCCATCATTCGCTTTAAATGAGCGTGAATGTTCCCACTGTGCATCGTAACTGAATGGCTTGCTACACACCACATCACTACAGATGGATGATTCTTATCCCGTTGTATTAACTCTGATAGCAAGTCAAGATGACGGTTGACTGCATGCTCTGATATGGGGTTTCTGGTTTGTTTATCAGTAAGATAAAACCAGTTAAGAGAAGGGCGTAATCTTTAGTGAAGTCAAAGCAATCAATGATAGTTTTCATGAAATTAAAAAAATGGGCAGCAGCACTGTTGCCGGAGACTCAAAGGAATATAACTGGAACACGTAACCAATGATATTCACTTATGTCACACGCCTGTGATATAGATGAAACCCCCCAAAGCAATGCAAATGTTGAAATACTCTCACAAATCGAGTTCATTCACGCCATTTACGAAAGAGGTCTCTTTATGTACTTCTGAGTAACATCAAACAAAGAACGAAATCAGTTATCAAACAGCTTGGGTGGTACTTCTTATTGAGGGAAATATTACATCATAGTTCATGAATGAGTTTCTTCGAGAGTACAGCAAATGCAACAGAGGAGAGGCTCCATTCACAGTAAGTGTGATCATGACTGTTTGCGTTGGAAGGGGGGGTGGGTGGGTTAAGGTTACTACGTACTGATATACTTCTTTGGTTCCCACAGTTGGGCTTTCGTTGATAACCATAATGCCGTATTTGTCTGCAAGCTCCAGAAGTTCCTCAGGTGGTGGGTGTTCACTTGTGCGGATAGAGTTGGCGCCAAACCACTGAATCAGATTAAAGTCTCTAATCAAGGTGGCGTAATCAAAACCTCGAGCACGAATCTGCAAGGAGAAGTCTAGAAATGCTCAGATATAATAATCTGTGACCTCTTTTCTTTACAGTAGAGTTTCAAATTGGCCAAAGAGCACTGTAAACTACAAGGTAACTCTTAGAACAAATAAACAAGGGGCTTACGTCACTATCCTGCCTTTTTCCAAACCCCTTAAAGTACAATGGGACATTGTTGATGAGGACCCTTGAGCCCTCTACGCGAATGGTCCTGAAGCCTACCGGAAGATTGTAGACATCATTAATTCCCTTATAAGACGTGATAACCTAAAAGGGAAGAGAAAAATCTCATAATCCTTACTGATCACACAGTGAATGTTGGAATAGATCGATTATGGAACATAGGGAACATCTTTCAGTGAGGCAAGGGATGAAAGTGCCATGAAAGGTCGTTAGTTATGTTATATAAGTGCTTGTATGATAAGGGGGCTCCTTATATAAGTGATTTTTTTCATTTTAGAAATGTACCGTATAGTTTGCGCGGGCTCAGTACAAGGCTAGATTTACCTCCTTTTAATCTTGAGTTTTTACATCGTTTTTTTTTCATTTTTAGCTAGTAAACTTTGGAATGCGCTACCCCCTAGACTCAGAGAATCTCAAGATATTGTTTCATTCAAGCGTTCTCTTAAAGCCCACGTGGCTTAGTGGTAGTGATTGTAAATATCGTTATTGTTAATAATGTTAATATTGTAACTTTTTATTGATAGCTCTTGTCTACGATCTTCGATCCTGTTTTTAGTTATTTAATAGATCTACTTATTATTTGTATTCTTACAGAAATTATGTTTTATTTCTAATTGTACATACACGTACACGTTTTGACGAGAACTTCTGTACTCCTAGGTGTCACGTGTTTAAATAAAGGATTGATTGATTGAGAATTCGATGTTGTAGATCGAAGAGGCTAGATTTAGAAAGGTAGTCGTAACCTAGAATTCGGGAGCTCTTTCTAGTTTCGTTGTTCAGGCAAGTTCTGGAAAGAGTCGGACGAACCTTCCTTGATGACGACATAGATGGCCGTCATAATACGATCCAGGTATGGCCCACTTGGAAATGTTGGGGAACGAAGATAAGAAAGTTTTTCTCGTTGTCAATCTCCGAAACTCAGATATGACCATAGATACACGTACAAGGAACCGCCTCCCGGTTAGCTCAATTGGTAGAGCGCCGGACTGTTGTGCGGGAGGTCGTGAGTTCAAATCCGGCCGGATCAACACTCAGGGTCTTTAAATAACTGAGAGGAAAGTGCTGCCTTTGTAATAATATCTGCAAATGGTTAGAATTTCTAGTGTTCTCGGATAGGGACGATAAATGGAGGTCCCGTCTCACAAGCCCTTGTATGTGATTAAAAAAAATTTGTGGGACATTAAAGAACCCACGCACTGTTCGAAAAGAGTAGGGCACGTAGTGCCTAGTGTTGTGGTCTATCTTTGTGTAGTGTCTACCAAATTGATGGGGGGGTACTGCGCCTTTGAATATTGTATAGAAAGGGCGCAATATAAATAAGGAATTCATTCATTCAAGAAATACTGTATGTGTGGGTGAAATGAATTTACCTTGAGATTATACAGATAGCCGGGCTCGTCACTCATACCCATGGGCCACCACAAGGTTGGGAAAAACACTTTGACCTTCCCACTAAACATCCCTTCTCCACCCGTAGATAACACCATCCTCCCCTTCCTGTCGAGCAGCTCATAGCTCATGGTAATGTCTTTTGATTTGACGTGATTGTAGGCTGCGACCTCTGTGACGAATTTGAGTATAGCTCTGGTGTAAGTGTGTTCCGTAAAGACAGATATATCTGTTAAATGCACTTCTGCAGGGGTGGTGTAGAGTTTTACAGAGCCGTGGATTCCGGCGAAGTCCACTTCTGTCGACTGATCACTTGTTGAATCGCAGTAACTTGAGCTAAGGAAGAAAGACATTGATTATTTTCTGGGTTTGGCGGCATGAATTTTATCAATTGTGTAATAGTGCTTTACATGTTTTAAGTTTCTGTGTGGGAAGGCGCCAAACAGACTACGGGTACGAGGGATAAATTTTCAGTTCGTGGTCAAAAGTAACCGCCATTGGATTTGTTTTACTTTAATATGCTCTGTGATTAAGAAAAGAGACTTTTGTTACCCGGAACTAATAAGGAGCAAGACTAAAACCCATCACAACGTGGTCTCTAGCGTTTCCCGTGCTTCAGGCAGCTCCTCGCTTTTACTTTATGCTGTTATTACTTGGTTGTTGTTGTGATTATATCAGTTTTATTTTTACGACAATGATTTAGTATGAATCAACTCTCGACTATGTAGGTAGCTGAAATGAACCAAATGTAGCAAAGAGTGTGCGCTATTGGGTTGATTCGCTTGTTTTAAAGTAAAGTTTGTGCTCGAGCAGAGGCAGCTGACAGGTACTTCAAATGGCTGGCTCAATCTTCCGTTCTTAATACTAATCATGCGGGTCTTTTTTGGAATAATTACCTCCTGCCAGCCTCTTCTTTTCCTGGTTGGCCTACAGTATTATTCACTGCCACTGTCAATCTTTGTGAACCTCTCTCAAGGCTGTCAAGTTGGTGGGTAATGTCAACCTCAAAGGGCAAGTCCCCTCCTTCGTGTTCCAGTACCTCTTGGCTGTTCAACCACTGAAATCAAATTAAAACAAAAAACGTCTCAACAGTTACTAGGGAGATTTTGAAGCTGGATGATTAAAGAAATATCAGGCATGGCATGACAGAAGATTTCCAGATTCTATCAGTGGGCTTCTTCTAAGCCTCTTAGCCCTTCCCGGTATCATTTGCAAGTTTGGATACTAGACGAGAAATTGTCAAAAATGCAGCATCTCCAAGCAGTAATTTGTATTCTCTGAAACTTGACTATAAATTTATTCGATCCTGGGTATAAACACCAGACATCAAACAACACAAAACGTCCCTTTGTATTAGCCACTGAACTAAGGTGAGCAATGACGTATATCAAGGTCTAAACCAGGAGCTTTTGTCTTTATCCCCCAATTTACTCTCCTGCTATGATTTTTGCTTAAGTTTTGTTTCCTTTGGAAGTTCTGACTTTAGCATTTGAAATACGATAGCCATTCCTCCTGCTATGTAATCTCCTTTGTGCCTTATTTGCTAGGGTTCTGTAGCGTAAAAAGTTGAACGATTGCATGCAAGATTGACACGATAATAAAGACTGCTGTTAGATTTATCAATTATCGTACCACTTTACAACGATAGAATACGTTGTCGAAGCGCAAGACCACTCTTTTGGAGACCGATTTCCACGATGGTGGCACATAAAATACTTTCTCGTACCACACCCAGCCAACGAAGTCCCTAAGCCAGCGGTCTTCTGTGATATCATTATAGCTGGAAGGAACAGGCATCGAAAGAACATCGCCAACCTGCATTAATTGATAACGTAATGATGAGTATTAATCCTTTCACTCTTAGGAGTGACCAAAAAGAAACTATTCCTTAAAATTCGATAAATTTCGAGCGAACAGGTGATGACGTGATAACTGATTCAATCAAAATCTTTTAATATACGATCTTTACGGAGTTTTGAATTTTCTTTCGATGATATTGTTTTCAGTCAAAATAATGATTTTTTTTTCTGTCCCTTTGGTAAGAAGAATGTTGAACTGGGTTAACAACCTGATTGAATCAGATAACCGAAAGGGCATCTAGTCTGCGGGAAGTGCTGACACAAGACTTTGCAGGAATCTAGCATTATGTATGAATTAAGAGATAATCAGTCAAGCTTTCTGCAAAATGTAACAGTGAAAGGCTTCAGAGCAAATGGTTCTCAACATTTCTCCCGTGAGTCCACTCTGTTCAAACCTCATTTTTTTCCGTTTAGGGAGTGTATCTGTCTGGTCAAGTAATCTGATTAGATTTTGCCCGTGAATCAAAGCAATACATATGTGTAGCTGCTGTTTACCTGTGCTAAGGGCAAGGAATACCACATCTCATCGAACCCGATTGAGGAAATATCCGCACGGAAATCCCACATCCCGTCCAAAGATTTCACTTGCCGAGTTTCGGATTCCCTGGGGTACAGCATACCTCGGAGAAAACCCTCTACAAAGAGACATTTCAGAGACAAGATAAATAAAAAGGTTTGACAAGTCATCGACATTCCGTTTGTTGTCTTCCCTCAGAAATTCCGTTGTTATCGTTCGCAAAAGCTAATTTACCCCTCCACCTGTTGGGCACATGTCGCCGTTCAAGTAAACAAAAGGATGTTTAGTTATGGTTTTTCTGTCTTGGCAGTCCAACATCACAAACAAATAACAGCCTGTTCGATTGAAGGAACTTTCTTGCCGAGTATGTTTTGATTTCGGAGGTTAGGGAGGATCGATGGGTAATTCAACACGAGCATGTCATACTTGTCAAATGTCCTCCACGCTTAGTTATCAGTAGAGAAAAAGTTGCTCTACGCACCACTGTTTTCATATACTTCGTAGACGGTCCGTAAGTCACTTTTTGGTAATTGACGAGTTTTCTAACAAAACAATTCTAACCTCATGACATTTCTTACTTATGCAACAATGCTAAGTAGCTAACTCTAATTGACAAAATGTTGCTCTGTGATTAGAAGCGTACAATAAGTTGAGAAGTAAGTCTGAAAAAGTTCACGATAGGATAGCAAAGGAAAAAGAAGCTAGACCAGAGAAAAGGTGTACTGTTTCCTCTTGAAACTTTTTCAACAGATACAAATATTGTCTTTGCGCGTCTTCCACGCCAACTCAGTGTCATAAATTGTCAAAACTAGCACGCAGGTACAGCTTACCCCTTGGCAACCACAGCCTACGAGTCTCTATTAAGAGGATCAAAACTATCATCATGAACTGCTGATACTACAAAATTTTCAGGATCAAATGTCACTAAAAACCCTTTAAAGGTTAAACAGGTTTTGCTTCAAACCAAGCTGTTGATCTATTGTACGTTAAGCGAAGTAGCGGTAGACAGCTGGGATAAGATGCAGGAAAGACGCCCGGATACACTTTGCCCCGAAGGAGTTAAGTCAATCTTTGTATCTCATTCCCTTACTTTATTGAGTGTGTTCCTATCCTGCTAAACTAATAACGTTGTGGTTTCCGACATTTTGAAGGCAAATTTCCGCTTTGCAACAGATAATTCAAAATATAAATATAATTATTGCATTATGTTACAATATCATAACATTAAATTCAAGTTCATATTTTTGCTTTATGGTCGCCTCTCAGAGTTACCGCCTTTGTTCTTTAACCTCTTTCTTCCATAAGTTTGTAAGTCATAAAGAAAAAATGACGCAAACGATGATGACGCAGGTAGCGTTCTTTGAATAAGTAACCAAATTGGTTCTTATGCTCTCATAACTGCGGCTTCTTACCCCACGCGTTTCAAAGTCATGGTCACGCTGTTATGATTAATTTCATGCGGCTTACATGCATGCAGTGTTGGTGGTAATTGGCAGGTGTTCTTGACAGTTTAATGCTATCATTTGTCATGTTAAACATACTAATAAGTTTGTTTATAGATGTTTAAAGTTTTTGCCAGTTCAGCTAATCAGCATTCTTCCTCAGCAGCCTTGAACAAAGTGAAGTAGCTTTTACGAGGCAGTGGTCTTCATACCAAAGCACACATAATCCAGGTAGAACCATTGAGACTTTTCCCGTGTCACGAACAAGCATAGAAATCCTTTTAAGTTGAAAACAAAAAATTACTGCTGTGAAGTTTCACTTACAAATGAAAACATGTCATGGACTATATTTTCAGGTCATTATATTCTGACACTCAGTCTCAACGAATTTCACAGGTCAACGCAATTTCATATCTAAAGATTCTCGCCTAAAACCCACATCTTCAGCGGGATATTCATCGAAACGATAAAATTAGCATAAATTTATTCGCATTTGTTCTCAATCAAGCAGCTTGTTGTCAATTTCCATTCTCGATTCGTAGCGAGCATTCATAAAGTATGGATATGAAAAAAGATTTAATTATGATAGCTATCCAGTGGTTATTATCTCTTGCTATTAACATTCCAGCTCTGACAATGAATTATCACTTCCGCAGCCGTTTCCGAGGAAACAGCTGTCAGTTTCTCGAGAAAAACAAGAAGATCAAACGTCCCGTCAATTCAAGATATCAGCTGCGCTGACAAAGAACGTCGTCCTAAGCTTTTAAGGATCTTTAGGGCAGCAATCACAAACCAATACTCTTTCAAAGTGTTTTAACTTTGATCGATTTTCTAATCACAGTGATTGTTAAAATCTTGTCAGTACCAGGCCTTGCATACTTCGTTGGATGCGTAGAAAATACCGAGACATTTAGAAAAATATCTAGATATAACGAAATTTAGGGAAAAATTGAAACATTTAACATTTTCTTTAACATCAGCTTTTTCGCGGCAGAATGTTCGGGATAAATATAAAAATTATATGTATTAACCTATGCATCCACATTGTCTTGCACAGCTTTTTCAACTCCCTCATCTGAAAAGTTTGACCTAGCTTTTTTTAAAATTAATGGTAATTTTAGAAGGGATATGCGACATTCTAAGAATTTTGGGATAGCTGACTTTTGAAAATTTCCAGGGATATATTTAGGCGATTTTATGTATAAAGGCCTTAGAGTCGCTATTACAATACCATAATGCATCGATAGCATGTTATTTTTATATTCTGGAATGCGTTTTAATTAAGCTGATAGGAGTTGTAAGTACCTTTACTAGCGTAATAATACAACGGGTGCTATACATGGTAACTGAAAAAAATTGATTACAAAAATAGACAGACAGTTTGTCAGTTATTGTGTTATCGTTACTATTTTTGTTCTATACATAATATTCATAATTGTAATGATCCCTTGAGTGTTCGCACAAGTTGACGGTCCAACCTGCAGAACCAACTTACCCACTGTTATTTCAATACTAGAAATGATATTGCTTTTTTTTTATCGAATTAGAGAACGATATCAAACTCTTTTCAGATTGTATCAAACGTTGACCCAAAGACTTTGAGACTCTGTATACAAGATACTACTAAAAGACAATGAAACTGGCGTTCAGTTATAAAAAATTTTTCATAATTTTTTTTTTGCTGAAACAAGAAAGGGATCTGAGAGGAGAGCAAATCAAACGAGGCGTCAAGAAGAAATTAACAGTTTGCTTATTACAAAATTCAGTTTTGTTGAGTAATTTAAAAAGTGCGACAAACAAAACAGCAGCAACCACAAGAAGAGACATTTTTGTTGAGTGTGCTCCCGAAATATGCTTGCTTGCGTAGCTTTAAGCATTCAATGAGAACATCACACAAGGAACAGGTGTATGGGAAAGCACACCTTTACTGTACTTGGGACCTATTACATTGAGCGCCTACGGGGCAGATTATACACCTGTGACTTCCTTATTGATGCTCTCTTTGATTTGTCCTAGTTCAGGCTGTGCTTAAAGTTTAGTCGTATTTTATCTTTGCTCTTGCGACTTTTATAGTAAATTTCATTCATGGTAGCTGTTATTTCTTTCCAATCGCTATACTGAATTGTGAGCCAGAGAAGCTAACGCAAACGTGAATTCAATAAAGCGCAAAAAGTTTGCTTGCCTAAAAGAGAGGCAAAGCATATGGGAACAACAACGGCTAGAGATAGAAAAGGTCGTAAAATTTGCTAATTTAAAACTTGAAAATTTTAACGCAAATTTCAAATTTTTTCATGCACAGACCTTGACCCACCCCTGTATCTGTAATAGTATCAAGTCATTACGTCAAAGAAAATCAAGAAAAAGTCACACGCGGAAGACTGTGACGTTCATCAGATCAGATCTGATAATGTAACATCCGCGAATTTTTTCAAAGAAGATAACGTTTACTTAATTCTCGACTCTCAAAGTTCGTGAAGAGAATGAAAACACTTCCTTCACGAATCATTGATCAAGAAGAATGAATAGCGCTGATTGAAAATTAAAGACTAAACTAAATATTGACCAAATGCAATTACGGGCTGATAACAGATAAGTTGGAGCGTCATAGCTACACCAGTTACGTGGGTCACCCTAAGGCGGGTCAACTTCTACCCTGCCTACGCAAGTGAGTACTGTACACACTAAGAATATATCATAACTCAGTAAACAAGCTCTTCGCGCAATACCACAGCGCCTTCGAGAGTCTACTCGTAAGCAACGTAATTCCGGGAAAATATACGCCACATGTCAACATCCTTTAGTTTTCTTCTGAGGAAGTGGAAGCAATAGGGTTACCTTCTACAGTGACTTCCATCGTTGAATTAAGTCATTTCCTGTCATTCTTTACCAAACTCCTTACAATGAAGTCAAATTGACTATGAACGCTTGATAGCGATATTGTGCCCCTTGGAATTACTTACAAACTACCCGCCTATTTCAGGTTAGGCTGAGTTTAAACTTAACCTAGTTTGCGCGTGCCCTTGAATCAACATCGATTGATGTACAATATTAACTAACTTTACTACGAAAGTAAAACTTTACACCATCCCAAGAAACCTGATACAAAGCTTAGTGTCACTTTTTAGGATAACACTTCTGCAGACTTTCACTGAACGTCTTTTGGGAGAATTGCGCGACCTCATGGCCGATGAACTCTTTAAAAATTATCCAAATCTACTTTCTTGGGAAGTTTTTAATAAGTCACGATATTAGAGGCAGAGAAAAGGTGTCTAAGGCCAATATCTTGATTAGAAATTATGCGTGCGTCCAATGCTAATATTGCAAAAACAAACACTTGAAGAGTGTTTCAAAGCCACTCTGTTGTGTTGGCGTTATTTGTCTAGCAGGTCGCCAGTGGTGCGTTTAGCGGTCTGTTACAAAAAGTTTCATTTGCAGTCCTCTTAAAAAAAAAATCTTAATGTTTCCAAGAAAACAATTGGAGGAGATTAATAAAACACATCAAAGATAAAGTCTTTTAGCAACGATGTGAAAAGGAAGCCGTAATTGACTTTTGCCCGTTCTGCCATCAAATGGGCCGCCATCATGGTTGATCACGTGGCCTATTATTTCTGACCAATGACAAGCGAGCAAATTGTAATGAAGGGCTCGCAAATGTTCATCGCGAGACGAAATTTGCAAGATAAACCAAGCTGCCCAGCCAAGATGGCGGACTTAGAGGCGGTTTTGGCTGATGTTTCCTACCTAATGGCGATGGAAAAATCGAAATCCACGCCTGCGGCTCGTGCAAGCAAGAAAATCATCCTGCCTGATCCATCGTACGTAGATTATTGCGATCGCTTTAAATTTATATCTCTTGGATTGAGTTTGTTAACCACAGGATTTAGTTTCATCGAGAGCGTTGTTGCTTTATATTTCCAGTGTTTACCATGTAATGCACAAGTATTTGAGCGAGAGGGGAGAGGTGCAGTTCGACAAAATATTCGACCAAAGGATAGGTAAGTGGTTTGATGCCAAAACATAATGGATCATTCAGCTGCACAGTGTTTTCCTACGCGCATTCTCGAAGGAGCAGAATGTTTGATGTCGGCGAACACTACTTCAATTCATTTTGAATGTTTTCGGTGTCCCCTAATGTATCATGACCTTATTTTATTCTTATGATCAAGGATACCTGGTTTTTAAAGAATTCTGCGAAACTCAGTGCGATGAACCAGTCCCTCAACTAGCGTTTTATGAAGATGTGAGTAGCCGAGTTTTTATACCTTGCATTAATATATTTATTTACCTATATATTTTCCTAGCTCAGCGCAGGAAGCTAATAGGCAGCCGCAGGTTTAGTAGAATATTTCTTGAGTGGGCGGATGCTGGTTTTGCAAGTTTATTTTTAAGGGAAGAGTTTGATCAAATTCAGCCTTGAATTTCTCCCGATAATCTGGCTGGACTGTGTTCAAATTAACGCTAATAATACACAAGCGATTTCTACAATTCGGGAGTGTTTTGACGGGATATACGAGCGATCTGTGAATACGGGTCGGATTTTGAACTATTTAGCTCCTCTTCCCGTTTTGATCATCAGCATCATCTTGCAGGAGAGAATATGCAGTATTTGTTGTTTTGAAAGGCTTGTGTTCACTTAACGTCGAAAGGAAGTGTAGATTGGCGTGGTATTGTAAGGGGTACGCAAGATTTATCCACGCGGACCACAGACTATACAAACATTCTTCCTGCTTGTACTTTGGTACTTTATTCACCGCGCAATACCTTACAATAAATAATGCAAACGCAGTTATTCCTCGTAGAGAGGGAACTTCAACTGTTGTTCGCCTTAGACCTACCTTTATACCATTTGTTTTGTTACCTCGGTTGTGACCAGTTATATGTCATGTCGCGAGGAAATCACCGGTAAAATCATCGCTCGAATGGCAACATTTACCACAAACGAGGGAGCTTAAATTTTACGATCTGTAATTAGAGTGGTGTTGCAATCGGTGAAAATATACAGTTCCTAAAATCCTAGTAACGTCGAATTGAATTTAGACTTGTTTTGCTTTTCTGAGTAAATAGCTTTGACATCGACACCTAACACGTTTGGCTCAATTGTTGCATATTGAAACTCGATTCTTGGTATCATTTTTTGACAAAAGACCGTTACAGTCGTTTTCTACTCGCAATTCGAATGAGAGATCAAAGTAATGTTGGATGATGGATCGTTGGTCGATTCAAAACAAGCACACCTCTCCTTTTACTTGCTTGAATTTATTCATGTAAACACAGCATACTGCTGGAAAATCATCTATCAAGTGCACTCTTATTTCTGTTATGAAAAAGGGTGCGCATGGCTTTTTCCTCTTTCGTGGATATTATACAGAATTTTATGGCGTTTTCTTCTCTAACTTTATGTCAAAATAAAAGCCAAAGAGACAAAAGAACGTTTTTTAAGAAAATTTTTGTCTGTTGCGATTCCCTGTCGTGCTGGCCATCGCATGATTCAATATAAATATGGAAGATCTTCCATGGAGTCGCAGCATAAAATACTGTAATACAATTAAATTGATTGTAGTTTAGCTCGTGTAGCTTAGGAAGATCACCCATAAATATCGACCTAACAAGATCCCATAGAAGTTTCATGATTTTGGTTAGATACTTTCGCCAAAATTTCGAACCCTCAAAGTCAGGTTTTCTTTAGTGAATTATTTATGAGTGTATGGCACACAGAGGTCTTGAATTAGAATTAGTTGTCTCTCATTTAGATGCTGTGGAAATTTTTCTCATTTTACTTTAAAGATGAATGGATGGTATACCTCTTGGGTTAAATTCGTTTACAAAAATGACATTTGTAATTTCGACAATATAATTTTTTGCGGACATGGTTTAGTTATTTGCTAATAGTTTGTAAATTCAGTATTTTGAAATTTTTATGTTGAAAGAGATTTAATGCATGAGGCATTGAAAATATGTTCATGTATTTTGTGTTGCCTGGTTATTTGTAGTATATGTCTTTTGGTACTTTTCTTGTAATTTCAAATTGTTTTTGTTTACCCGTGATTAAAACTCCTCTCAAACAGGTGATCAAATTTTATTTAATTTTTCCTTTTGTGAGTCTGTTCTGTAGACAAAATTAGTCAAAATTTCACACTTTTATCATACTTGGTATAAAATTTAGATTGTGGAAAGCTGATTTACCCATTAACTTTTAGGACCTACTGTAATCTTACATATTATTTATGACATTAAAATTGGCACAATTTGTCAAAATGCAAGTCAAGTTTTGCAAAATTATTCAATCAGGTGAAGATAAACTATTTGCATATGTTCTGATAAATGAAGGCTGGCTGAATATTGAACCAGCCTTGTTTAATTAAGGCCGAATCCAATTGTACTTTGTTTTAAAGGGTTTTCCAAGGTATGTTTTATACCTTAGTCCTTTTTTATCCTAAAGTCTATCCTATTTTGATCAGGAATCATACAGTCACCTTTTTCCGACTTGCTTCTTTGATTTACATTTCCTATGAAATTTTGACATTTGAATCCTTTTTTTGTAAAATCACTGACATGGTGACACTACAACAATAAAAGTTGAGACTGTAACAATATTATGCCAAACACTATAAGGCTTTGAACTGTTTTTGAGAAAATAGTAACAGATTGTCATTATTTAGAGTGTTAATTATGAGTGACATTCTTTGATTAAATGTTTAGTCTTGAGCCAGGATGAGATGTCTACCCCTTATGAAATAACCAGATATTAATCCAAACAAAATGTCTGAAACATGCAAAGAAATGCTTCCATTTAAAATGCTCTTCTTAGAATAAGCAGTCTGTCTATGATTTTTAAGTGTTCCAGTCAAGTAAGAAAACTGCTTAGTGCTATATATTTAATGAAGCTGACCTTGCCAAATAAAAACACTAACCTGAAGAAAGGTACTTTGTTATGCACCATGCATAATGTTTTTCACCTGAATATTCACATCTGTTTTTTTTTCCAACCTCTTCTCTTGGTCATGTTTTTTTTTTTTTTTTTCATGTTCCTATAAACAAGATAACTACAACAGTTATTTTCATTATTCAGCTATAGTAACCATGGATGATTTTTCCGAGTTGTATATTAGAAATGCCACATAAATGTTTTCCCTTAATATTTATTTCTTAGGTATTCCTCTGATTTCACAGTCAAGATTACAGTGCAAATGGTCTTCTTTCTTGTAACAATAAACATTTTGTGATCTTATGGGTCTAACTCTCTCTTGCTCCTCTCAGTTAATTCAGTCACCTTAGATCAAAGATGTTGTCTGATGTTGATTGTTGAACCTCTTAAGCATAATCATGATTTAAGTGGATTTTAGGAAGTACAGCTGTAGTCTTGTGTTGATTTCTCTCACACATAAACAACCAGACAAGGTAGTTATAGTAGCTTGATTGTTTTGTTGCAAAGGAAATTGGAGTAGAAAGATCCAGCAATGGTCTAACTGGTTGGTTTTTGTTCTTGGGCAAGATACCAAACTTGCACACTCCCTCTTTCCACCCAGGGGTAGCCTCTAATGGACAAGTATGCCACTAAAAGTGATGCTTTGAGTCACTTCAGAATTTGTAGAGTCGATGGGCAGCTAATGCATTAACTAGCCAACATTCTTAGTAAAATAGAGATCTTGGATTTAGGTCAGTGTTGATAAAGAGCACAGTGAGAAGTTACCCTTGCATATGCAGCTACATTTTAGAGACAGCTGAAACATACACCACCTGTGCTACAGTGAAGTTCCTTTCAATGCACTGTATTTTGAGATTATTTTTTTATGACTGGAGCAGAGAATTATGGGCTTATGCTTATGATGCTAGATTGATATGTAACAATTAAATTTTAAGTTGCTGTGGATCTCTCCAATAATAGATCTTAGAAGACATAAGAATGTGGTAAAAACGTTAATTCCTTTTTTTGTTCTCACTCCATTTTCATGTCATCTGTGAGCTATTACAGAACAGACTCATGGCAACATATGATTTATTTGTTGATTACAATTGTAAACTACACTAGTCCAATGCTTGACATATTCTCACTTGACATCACCAGTACTACCTATCACTAATCTGTTCTTGGTGTTTTTTTCTAAGGACTCAATTTAATTTCCTCTTTTAAGAAAGACTCTAAGAATGCGATTGTAAGAAACAACATGTAGCAGCTGATTTGTAGTTCATCAGTTTGATTTATTTAACAACCTTACAATAAGTGTAGTCAACATATAGCTTTAGGTTAATTGCAGGGCCCGAATCATATACTTGGGTATAATCTTTTGTTCAGTATTATTTTAATTGTTGATACTATTTAATTCAATCATGAGGTACAACTCAGTTAAAAAAAAACTCAAATTAAAAGATTTAGTTAGTTATGGTTTAGAATCAAGAAACCTAATACCGCTGAGAACTTTTACATTGTGTATGATTTTTACTTTGTACCAATGCGAGGAGATTACTGGAAATGGGAGAGTAATTACAACTTATTAAAACAAACGTAATCTTTTCTGAATCAATGCAGATTAGAGAGTATGAAAAACTACAGTTCCAAGAGGACAGACTGAAGATGGCTCGAGAAATATTTGACAAGTATATAATGATTGAGCTCCTCGCCTGTTCTCATGTAAGTGTTTTAGCACCATACACCCAAATTATGCAGCTTTACATAACATGTACTTGTATGCAATGGTAAAAAATAGTTGGAGTATCACTGTTGTTGTCATTCTTATCGTGTAATAATTACCATTTTTATCGTTATTGATACAGTTATCATTATCCTAGATTTTCATACTAATGAGGCAATGTAATTGTCCTTTAAAATTCTGGGAATTTTTTTAAGTAGAAATTTCTGTACAACAAAATCTGAAAATAAGAATGAAGTACATGTATTGCCTCTTCTTTTTTTACCACAGTCTTTCTCTAAAAGTGCTCTGGACCAAGTGCAGAGTTCAATAACAAAAAAAGAGCTTCCATCTACACTGTTTGAGGTAAGAATGTGTTTAGCGGTACTGTCTTGACAATTGATTAGTTATTTTTGTCTCTATTGCTGTTATACCAAGTTCAAATTTAGTCACACAATTTTCAAGAAGGTCAGTTTCCTATGAAATAAAATTATCTACATTTCAGTTTGCGAAACAATTATGCAACAGTTGTTTTCCTTTTGATTTGTTTATGTGTTGACTTGTTTGTTGGGTCATTTCATTATCCTTCCCATTATTTTATTTATCAACTTTAGCTTTATGCTACATGCAACAGAGTTCATTCACATTCAGAATTAAGTTCATTTTAGACTTTTTCACTTTGATGCTAAGTTATTTACATTAGACATTCAATGCAATTATTGGTACTGAAAAATTTTTCTCTAATTGCTCTAGCCATACATGTTGGAAATCAGAAACAGCCTAAGAGGGTCAATCTTCCAGAAGTTCTTGAAAAGGTAAGTCCTTCGTAGCCTTAAACTTCAGGAGCAAATGTTACAACTATTATATTACATCATGGTAGATATTAACTTTCTTTTCTTGTTGCTGATTATCTCTGATTCAGTAATTCCTTAATTGTTTGTTCACAGTGATAGATATGTCAGATTTTGTCAGTGGAAAAATGTGGAACTTAATATTAATGTGAGTATGCATTTAAGGTACTATAAGCAGTTTTAGTGATATGATTTTTAAGCAGGGCCTTGCCATGTGTGAAATATTTTTCTCCTACTCTTCACAGCTAACCATGAATGACTTTAGTGTACATAGAATTATTGGTCGTGGTGGGTTTGGAGAGGTTTATGGATGCCGAAAAGCTGACACTGGAAAGATGTAAGAGTGAACTGTGTAATTTTGTGAATGGATATTTTGGATTAGAAAGGACAAGTCAAATAGGAATCTTTGAATTCAACTGAGGGCTTGACACTAACTTTTCAACTTACTAGCCAATTTGCTAGTGACAACTTAGATGTTACAACAATTTCAGTTTGTTTACTAGCCAAATTGGCCGGTGGAAATTGAAAACCATGAGCCAAAACTGAATTTCTACTAGTCTGTGACTAGTTGGCTATACCATTAGTGTTGATAACTAATTATGATAAGTTGAAACTTAGATTAAATGGAATATTTTTTATATTCTTTTTGTGATAGGTATGCCATGAAATGCCTTGACAAGAAGAGAATCAAACTGAAACAGGGAGAAACACTGGCACTGAATGAAAGAATAATGTTGTCCATGGTCAGTGCAGCTTCTGTTTTTTTCTACACGTGAGAAGCAATTATAGATTGATAAATATAAGGACAAAAACTTATATATTTAGTAAATTGATATTTGAAACTTGAATTAAAATGACTGTTTTTTGTTGTTATGAACTACTTTACAGGTGAATAATCCATTCATTGTGTGTATGACCTATGCCTTCCAAACTCCAGACAAACTTTGTTTTGTGTTGGACTTAATGAATGGTAGGAAATTATAACTGGTGTTGATATTCCTAGTTGTTGTTAGGAAATTTGATTTAAGTGTGCTGTTGCCTGCATCTAACCATGACAAATGGTTAGATGCAAGCATATTATTTGGTAAAATGAATAATTTTACCTAATAATATCAATACAATATTATAGGAAAATTCATTATTTGAAGAGGGAATTCCACTTTAAATTGCTTGCGAAAACTGAATTGTAAAGCAACTCATGCAACATTGGTTTTCAAGAGCAATTTAATGCAAAACTCACGAGTCAAGTAAAGGATTTTCTATGAATCACATAATTGATTCAAAACAAGAAATAAAGAAAACAGCATTACCTACAGTTGTCATGTATACAAAGATGCAAAACAACATCACAAAGCCTTGTTTTCAACTCACAATTCCACGCTAAATACCTCACTTCGTTAACCAATCAGAATGTGAGATTTTATTCAATGATGAGATTCAAACCAGAAAAATGACAAGAAGAAAGAAATGTATCAGCAAGGGAATATTGTGATCAACCAGTAACACTGGTTTTTTCAGTTGGGATTATAGGGAATGTGTGGAGGACAATGGAAGGTGCTGAATTTGAGATCTTAAGAATGGAAAGGTCAACAGAATAAGGTTAATTTTCAAGATGCACAAGACGCCTTAAAAGTATTATTTAATGACAAAGCTTTTTTTGTGCCAATCAACTTTTGCCCATTTTCTAGGTGGTGATTTGCATTATCATTTGTCCCAACATGGTGTCTTCAGTGAAGATGATGTAAGTTTATGAAACTCTTGGTAAAAGCTTCCCAATTAAAACTAGATTTTTTTTTTTTTTTTTGAGTTACTAGCTTGAATAAACTGCAGAGGCAGCACATTTTGTTTTTTTAAGAAATTAATACTGAATGAATAGGTAAGGTTGTTGAACTTGCGCTTACAGTTTTTTTCCCTGCATATTTTATTTCAGGTACGATTCTATGCTTCAGAAATAATTTTGGGATTGGAGCACATGCACGATAGAAAAATTTGTTATAGAGATTTAAAGGTAACAGACGCTGAAAGTTTCATTTGATAAACTATGTTGTTCCTTAGTCTTCTATTTTGTATTTGTATTTATTTTTCTCCTCCATTTCAACAGGTCAGAGTGTATTGAGTAATTACAATAGTTGAGAATTTTTGCACCTATTTTCGACAACAGCGAGAGAGGGGGAGAAAAAACATCGTAGCGTTTGTAGATTCGCAGTACGAGAAGATGAATTTCTCGCGAAGCAGTGAAAATTCTGTGCTGTTAGAAGCTGCAAACTTGCATTCACGGTGTATGAAATTAAGTCATTTTGAGGTACTTACATGTGCACAAGTGGGCCTCGTATTTCCATAAATTCGATCCTTCCTTCATTAATCAAGAATGTTAGGCACGTTCTCTGTTATCTTTCCCTTCAATTTTCCTTTACTTTCGCCATTGTGATGTGTTTGGTTTGGATAGCAGTAGGCTACCACGTGACTAATTTACATTTAGTCATCGGAGACATTGGCGGGAAAATCTTCACGGTTAGCAAACTCTTTCCCAGGCTTCCATTCTTTGCAACAAGGAGTCTAATGCCGGAAAGAAATCTGTTTTGTGCGTCGCCCCATTTTGATATTCTACGTCCTCGCCCTTTTGTGTTAAGATTTAATCTAATCAGTTACCTTGATTAATATTTCAGCCCGCAAATATTCTGCTGGACGAACACGGACACGTGAGAATATCAGATCTTGGACTTGCCTGTGATTTCTCAAAGAAGAAGCCTCATGCCAGTGTGTAAGTGATCAGCAAGTTAATAATCCACGAAAGATTGGATGCCTTTCGTGTTAGATATACTTTCCAGGGTTCGACACCTATCTACCTGCATTACTAGCCACCGAGCAACTGATTTCTAAAATGTGCTGGCCTGAAACACAACTTGGTAGCCCGGATCAATTTCCCTCGAGGTCTACTTCAACCCCAAACATGCAAATCTTCCACTAAACTTATTGGTCTTTTAAAATGATAAAGAATGGTACAATCGCTTCAAGTGCGAAGCGATCGTGTTTAGCGATGTGCAAGGCATCGCAACGTCGGTAGGGAGAAGACTGGGGAAGACATTGGCCATTAAGCGTAGAGTCTCGGATTTAGGGATGTTTACGATCGACACGCAAGACAAAAAAAGACGCCAGAAGATGAAAGGGTTGTGCCTTCTTTATTGGTATTATCATTACAATTTAGTCTTTCTTGTTTTTTAATCAACTGTGAACTTCAAGTAAACTAATTATATTTAATTTCTTTCAATTTTCCTACCAGCCAGCGGGCTATTAAACGTGGTTTTTTACTAGCCCGACCAAATTTTTACTAGCCTCGGGCTACCGGGCTAGCGGAGATGTCGGACCCTGCTTTCTTGGGTTTTAGCTTTTCCAAACTATCATTATAGTTAATTGAGAGTCGAAAGTGAACCGGGAATGCTCTGGATTTGCTTTCTTTCGCTTCGTAACTCGGGTTACATTCCTAACCACTCATATTTGAAAATGAAATTAAGTCTGATGTCATTACTTGCGTTTTCCATGCTTAGGCTCTCTGCTTGTCTTTACTTTGAATTCCTACTGGCTATTCTTGATTTTTTTTTTTTCTCTCTCCTTTCTCTTGGTCTTTAGGGGAACACATGGCTACATGGCGCCTGAAGTTTTAAAGAAGGGTGAAGCATACGACTCTTGTGCTGACTGGTTTTCTCTCGGCTGTATGCTCTTCAAATTGCTCGTAGGGTAGGTACATAATTGAATTTCTTTTGGTTGTACTGTACTTGTTTGAAATTCTTCTTTCATGACCGCGTGACAGCGCTGGCTTGCGTAGCAAGTAATTGTAAGGAAGTTTCAAGCGGCAAAACAGCGGAAACGAGCGGTGGGTTGAAAGTGAAAATAGCCAATCATCTCTCGTGAGTGCACCTCCCTTATTTTTGCCATGTGCTGCTATGTCAGTGCTAGCTTAGGTTCGGGAACGAAAAAGCACTGGCGGATTAAGAGGAGGGGTGTTGGGGCTCGCACTTTTGATTCTAAGTAATACGACGAACCAAGCAACGGAAATACTAAATTCAGCAAACAGCTCTCAAGATCGACCCCGTTCCCTTGCCTGGACATAATGACCCACCTCGCCAGCCATATTTTCCCCCCCTTTCTTATCATCACAAAAAAATCTTGGGTGACTTAGTTTTATGCTATTACTCCCAAAGAATGTGCCGTTTTGATTTCTTTACCGAAGACACTAATCCTTTTTTACCCTCGTTTTGCAGGCATAGTCCATTCAGACAACACAAAACAAAAGACAAGCACGAGATCGATAGATTAACGTTAACTTACGTAAGTAAATGATCGAAAACTGAGTCCTCTTGTTAGGAGAGACTTTGGTGCCTCCTGGAAACTAGAGAAGGCTTCTAAAAAACGTCTGTGAATGGCTAAACTAGCATCGTCATTATTCGTCTCGCAGGACGTAGAATATCCAGAATCGTTTTCTGAAGAAATGAAGTCCCTACTCGCTGGTCTCCTTAACAGAGATGTCCCCAGCAGACTTGGGTGCAGAGGCTCAGGGTAACTTTGCCTTTTTATCTTTGTACTTGTTTGAGTCTAAGAGACCGATGTCGGTCAGTCTTTGGACAAAGCATTGGACGAGTGTTCAGGAGTCAGAAAAAAACCTTCAAAAGAGAACTCCACTAGGCTGAGGGATTGTAACTAAGTTACTAAACGGAAGCTTGAAATTGTGTTTCTTTCGTAGGGCTATAGAAGTGAGACAACACGAGTTTTTCAAAAGTAATGATTGGAAATTAGTTGAACTCTTAAAGGTGAGAGGCATTGTCTCGAACACAAACATTTGGTGTATACCTAAGCACACCAGTTGTCAGCGGTTACTTTGCGTAACATTCTTTGAATACTCTTAGTAACGAAGATTCAAATTTATGCTAGTGAGTAGTATTAGTTCCAGGTACCGTTTTCAAATTGTATGTTGTAAGTTTCTGATCAAAGCCTTAATAATGGACGCTCCTGAGCTCTGTAAAATGTACTTCTTGATGTTGAACACTTCTTTGGGAGTACCATTAGGAGTACAGGGTACTCCGAATAGCACAGCTACATGCGTAATGTCTGACTTTTAATTGATGAAACTGTTGCAATGGTGCTGAATGTGCTGAATGTGCAGATTGTTTATATTATTCGAGTCGTTCAAAACTTGAAATGAGGTCACTCTTTATTATTCGCCTTTTCCTGGGTTTCTGAAGAATTAAAGGCTGCCATGTCCAAATCGCTGAGGTTAATAAATGATAACAGATTTTGTTGATCATTGTTGATGATTTTTGTTTGTTTGTTTGCTTACTTGTCTGTGCAGTATCCACCGCCACTTGTGCCTCCAAGAGGTGAAGTGAATGCCGCTGACGCGTTTGATATCGGCTCATTCGATGAAGATGACGTCAAAGGAATTAAGGTAGGCACAGTGATAAAGTAAGGCAGCATATGCCTTCGAGATCACAAGCTGTACAGGCTAGGTGCCCAAGGGTAAGGAGATGGACGCCAGTAGGATCTGCTTGATAACTAGTCTAAGCTTTATTTCTTTTCCATTTTTTCTTTTTACCATGTCCAAGACTTTGGCAATGAAACTCGATTCAAAAGCCCCCTGAATGACAAATTTATTCAGCACAACGTTTCCATTTAGGCTTAGTAAGCGGGTAACCCGTTCAAATAAAAGCGATCCTTACAAAAACCAATAACTCTTTGATGTAACAAGTGAATTTATAAACATTGCTATCTAGATGACAGATCAAGATCAAGAGATTTATAAAGACTTTAACTTGACTGTGTCAGAAAGATGGCAGCAAGAAATAGCTGGTAAGGGATGTCACACGCACTTATGTACAGTTAAATCCATTTTGACATCTTCCTATGGCTAATCGTGGAAAAAGCCTCTTGATGTAACGCTGAAGCTATTGTGTTAAGGTTTATACGATGGACAATACACTTGCCCCGCAGTAAAGAGAATTTGATTCACACTACACTTTCACATGTTACCCCCGGGTTCAAACCATTTACTGCAGAATTTGGTGTTATCAAAAATGTTGACAATGTAAATTGGCCACCGGAAAGAGTTTCTAAAGCTGAGTTTTCTAAACCAAATCATCTTGTAGTACCTCCCCGAGGCAGCTCCACAGTTTCTTCAGAAAACTTACCCCCTCTATTCCACAGTGAAGTGGTCAAAATCGAGGGTTTGAAGAAAAGAACCAAAGTACATCATTATCCAGATTTGTATGTGTAATAGAACGTTTTCAAGTGTCTAAGTTGTTTTCTCTCAGTATCTCCAGTTTTGAAGTGCATGTGGTTTTTGTTTCTTGTGTGCTTGTGACTTGGGGCATTGTTTTAAACTTTTTTGTACATTTGTAGAAACTGTATTCAAAGTTGTCAACGAAGAACATGACAAGTTAGAAGCCAAAAAGAAAGCGAAACATCAAAATTCCATGACGGGTGAGTAGTATAATTCGGATGCAGGTGTCACTAGTACTCAAGGGACACTGGGACAAAGGACCCGTCACTTTTCTCGAAAAATACCGGGCTCATGAAGTTCTTCAATGGAGGCTTTAAATTGTTTTCTGGTGATACAGTGTTCTGTCAGTTTGTTTCAACGTTCTTTCTAAGTAACACGGTGATTTTCTTGCCATCAGTCAATAATCATTAAGCAATTTCCTGTTTAGTTTCGAAGGTTCAGGTATTCCTTATTGCATTGGTTCTGCCTCATATCTATGTAATTGGTCTTGGAAATCCGGATTTCCCTTTCGACCAATCAGATACAAAACCCAACCCAAATGCCAGTTGTTCAGTTCGGTTTTCCTGGCGCACTTGAGGCCCGAGACTGCATGTGTTCTTGGACGTTCGACTCTCTTAAAGCACTTAATTCTCATATAAATATGTCAATTGTTATAGTAGCAGAGGATGGAGACCGTCTGTTGGAAGGCTACCTTTACAAGCTGGGAGGCACACTAATGAGTAACTGGCCAAGAAAGTACTTCCATCTCTTCCCCAATCGACTGGAATGGCGAGGCGAGCAAGCTGGGGTGAGCGGAGCGATTTATTTAATTTGTTTCACTATGTAAGGAGTTTCAGTGGGGAGACATCGTAAGGTCTTATCACTTGAATAGATCAATTGGGAGCATATCTTCAATGATTGATACAAAGGGTTTTGGATTTCTTAGTCAGTCGGTATCAAAGTTTTCCTCTTTTGAATGGAGTTTTCGCCAAAGATGTAACGATTAATCAAACAAAGACAAGCCCAACTGAAACAAAAGACAAGCCCAACTGAAACAAAGAGAAGCCTAACTCACCAAAAGCCCATTCCTCTCTCTCGCTTTTGATATGTTCTACCTAATCATTCTAA